GAGGTCCCGCAGTCCGTGTACTCCGGGGCAGCCCCGTTCGTAACTGCGGATCCGACATAAGTCGGATCCGCGTAAGTCGGGGACTGCCTGTATGTATATTTCACACTGACGGGCATGAATGCACAGATTAAAGCAAAACTACATGCAGACCCATTAAGTCAGTTCTGCTGATATTAATAAAATGCTATATTTCCACCCATATGACAGCACTTTCAATGAGCAATGACAGTTCAGGAATTTGACTACTAAAACTACTGAAACGTATTTCAACAGAAGACCATTATATTGACTTGCCATTATGGAGCATGTTCCCAGTGGAGGCCATGTTCAAAGGATCCCACCCGCATGCCACGTTAAGTCAGTTCTGCTGATATTAATAAAATGCTATATTTCCACCCATATGACAGCACTTTCAATGAGCAATGACAGTTCAGGAATTTGACTACTAAAACTACTGAAACGTATTTCAACAGAAGACCATTATATTGACTTGCCATTATGGAGCATGTTCCCAGTGGAGGCCATGTTCAAAGGATCCCACCCGCATGCCACGTGTTGAGCCCTGCATAAACCCAAACTGCACCGTGGGCTGCAAACAAACAGTGTGTTGAGTAGCTCTGCCTTATGGGGCCATTAGTTTATTACATGAGGATTCTGAGGTGTCAGTTCTGCATGTGGTGGAGATTGGGCTGTTATCCCCAGCAGGACTGACTGTTTGAGCTCCGGTATACACAAGACTGACAGCTCAGTTCCACTCTCCATCCCACTCTGCCTCCGGCCCTGCTCTGCCCCCAAAGAAAGGATGCCAAAATAGAAGTTTGCTCAGGGCACCATTTTCCCCAAGGCTGGCCCTGGGATTGAGACAACATTACAGGGCTTGATTATTCATCAGCGGATGAGCTTGATTAAACTGCAGACCAGTCAGAACACTGAGAAAGACAAGTATATATAATTCAACAGTGAGACATACAGGCATATACTTTTTCCTTAAAACAATTGCCATGGCCACTGCAAAAAGAGAGAGCCTCTTGAAGCTTACATTAAACAGTTACCTGCATTGTCACCTCTGGTATTGAAAAAAACTGTGTCTCGTGTGCTGTGAAGTTTTGTTGACTGAATCTATGAAATCATGCAAGTTTCAGCAGTTTCTAGAAACTAGACATCCTGAGCATAAAAATCAAAATCAGTTTTTTCAAATGCCCTGAAGAAACAACAAAGAAAACCAGACTTGATGCAGACTACAGTTTCTGACAATAAATGTCCTTAGCTGTGGAGGCCTCTTATACTGTGTCACTATGAATTCTCCATGCCACAAAGCTGTATATGAGAGGTGAGGAATTTGTTCAGCCAACATCCAAAGATGAAGTGTCACTTATGCTTGACGAAGATACTGCCAAAAAACTTAATATGCTTTCTAGGTCAAATGATACTATGAAACACATGATATGTGAGATGTCTGAAGACATTTAAGAACAAGTTGTGTATAAAATGAAACATTCTGCTGTCAGTTTGTTCAGTGTCAAGTTGACAAAATGACTGATTTTACTAAATGAACACAGTTGATAGTGTTAGTACGATATGTGAATGCTGGTGATGTTAGAAATGAATTCTTATTCTGTGAACAACTTGAAACAATCATAATAGCAAAGGGCATTTTCAGTAAGGTGAATACCTTTTTTGGAAGCAATGACATTAAGTGGTATATCTATTAATGGTGTAAACAGCTATCGTGGGTTTGCAGTCTGTCTTTCAGCAGAAGGTAGTGTGTGTGGCCTAATGTGACTGTCACTCATTGTGGAATCTATTGTCAAGTCCTAGCTAAAAAGACATTGCCAATGTACTTTAATGCTGTGGTGGATGTTGTTAGATAAGCAGTGAACATCATTGAAGTGTATACTCTGAATTAGGGCTGTCGATTAATCACAGTTAACTCATGCAATAACTAAAAAAATTAATTTCAGTTTATTGAACTGTTAAACAATAGAATACCAACTAAAATTTATTAAATATTTGTGAATTTTTCCTACATTTTCATATTGATTTCAATTAGAAGACAGAATGCTCACTTTATATTATTATTTGTATTACAAATATGTAATATAAAAATGATAAAAGAAATAGTGCTTTTCAGTTCGCTTCATAAAATTGAGGAAAAGTACAGTCTCTTTTCCATGTAACTAATGGACAAATGTAGACTTTTTTGGTAAACTCAAAAACAAAACAATGTAAAAGTTTAGAGCCTACAAGTCTATTCAGTCCTACGTCTTGTTCTGCCAGATCACATTGACAGGAGATACTGCTGTGCTGCCTGTTTCTAATTGACAGTATCTTGAATGACACTTTTGTAGCCAGTGTTGCAAGGTATTTACTACCAGATATGCTAAACATTTGTATGCTTCTTTATGCTTCGTCTACCATTCCAGAAGATGTGTTTCCAAGCTGATGATGTTCTTTAAAAAACAATGGATTAATTAAATTTGTGACTGAACTCCTTGAGGTAGAATTGTATGTCTTCTGCTCTGTTTTATCTGCATTCTGTCATATATCATGTTATAGAGGTCTCAGATGATAACCCAATATATGTTCATTTAAAAAATGCTTTCAGATTTGACAAAACGCAAAGAAGATACCAATGTGTGATTTCAGAAATCTTAAAAGAGCAACATTGTGATGCAGGAATACAGAAACTGAACCACCAAAAAAGAAAATCAACCTTCTGATGGTGGTATCTAAGACTCAGATGATGAAAATGCATATGTATTAGTTTACTTTGTATCATTAAAAAATCATCATTAGTATAGACACATATTCTCTGAAATGGTGGTTGAGGCAAGAAGGTACATATGAATCTTCATTGCATCTGTCATGTAAATATCTTGTAACATCAGCTACAACAGTGCCACATGAATGCCTCTCATCACTTTCAGGTGACATTGTAAACAAGGAGCAGGCGGCATTATCTCCTGCAAATTGTAACTAAACTTGTCCATCTGAGTGATTGGCTGAACGAGAAGTAGGACTGAGTGGACTTGTCAGTTGTAAAGTTTTCCATCGTTTTATATTTCAATGCAGAGGTTTTTTTAACATAATCCTATATTTGTAAATTCAACTTTCACGATAAAGCTATTGTGCTGCAATACTTGCATGAGAGAATTTGAAAAATACAATTTTTTTGTTCTTTATTTTTATTACAAAAAAACTTGCACTGTAAAGTGAGCACTGTACACTTTGTATTCTATGATGTACCTGAAAACAATATTTTTAAAAATGAAAAAAAATCCACAAGTATTTAAAGTGTATGCTATTATTGTTTAACAGTGCAATTAATTATGATTAATTTTAAACACTTGAGAGCCCTCCTCAGAATAGTTGTCTTTTTCAAGAGCTCTTCAAGGAAATGGATGAGGATTATGATGATCTGCTTTTCCACACTCAAGTCTTATAGCTTTCTAGGAGACATGCATTGTTTTTAGGGGACAAGTGTGGTTTTATATTTCATGAAGAGATGGTGGAGTTTTTCCTCTAAAAAGAGAAACGAGCTGAAAAAAATGTTCAGTGACACGAAATGGCTTCTCTCTTAGAAGTGTGAATGTGGATACCACTTCCTGCAGTTGCCATTGGCCGGGAATGGAGATCCATGGCCAATAAGAGCTGCAAGCAGCTGTATTTGTGGATGGCAAGGTAAAGAAAACACTGGTGGCCTACCATGGGCTATCCCTGGTAAACCGCCTTTGACTTATTGTCCACCCCTGATCTAAACATGTAACATGACTTCCTTTTGATGACAAAGATAAAACCCATTGCTTGTGAAGACCAGGACTTTCACAGGGTTCACAAAAGGAATAGATAAATTCACAGAGGTTAGGTCCATCACTGGTTATTAGCCAGGACACTTTCTGGGTGTCTGGCTGGTGAGTCTTGCCCACATGCTCAGGGTTTAGCTGATCGCCATATTTGGGGTCGGGAAGGAATTTTCCTCCAGGGTAGATTGGCAGAGACCCTGGAGGTTTTTCGCCTTCCTCTGTAGCATGGGGTACAGATCACAGCTGGAGGATTCTCTGCATCTTGGGGCCTTCAAAGTATTTGAAGGCTTCAATATCTGAGACATAGGTGAGAGGATTATTCTAAGAGGGGTGGGTGAGATTCTGTGGCCTGTACTGTGCAGGGGGTCAGACTAGATGATCATAATGGTCCCTTCTGACCTTAAAGTCTATGAGTCTATGAGGATGGGTAGGAATGGTGTCCCTAGTCTATGTTTGTCAGGGGCTGGAAATGGATGACAGGGGAGGGATCACTTGATGATTAGCTGTTTCTGTTCACTCCCTCTGGGGCATCTGGCATTGGCCACCGTTGGAAGATATGATGCTAGGTTAGATAGACCTTTGGTCTGACCCAGTATGGCGGTTCTTATGTTCTTATGTCACAAATCATATCAAGGACTTGACCAAGACAGAACTCAAGGGTATAGGTGCCTTGATACTAATATTTGTTTGCTGGTATGTTTTTATGGTGGTGCAAAACTTTTCTGATGGCCTGAGTTGAATGGTGAAGCTTAGCCATCAAACTTCCTGCAACAGCAGTGGGCCACCTGTGAATACCACAGGTGGAGGGCATTAGCCCATAAGTAATGAATTTGGGGAGGAGCTACTAATAAAGAGAACATGATCAGGTAAGAAATTTCTCAATCCACCATCCTGAAAACAATCATAAGATTCTAATGCATACTATACTAAAAAAGCATTCTAAAAATGGTCTGTAAAATGAAACGTGTTGATGATATGGCACACAATTTGTGTTTGTTTGTGTAATAAGTTTTATTTTTTGTAATAGTGACAAATGAACTGAAGAAGAATCATAGGCATTGTGACTTGATTTTCTGATTGTCATACTCCTTTCAAAGTTTTAAGGTAAAAATATAGAGTCAGCATGAAATAGGGTAACATCCTATTGTGGTGTGAGATTTGAGAAATAAATTCTAATGCTAGCTTTGCCACTGATTAACTCTGTGAAATCGGTGTGGCTTTTTCTTCATATGTAAAATGGGGATAGTAATAGCAGCCCTGCGAGGTAGGTGATGTGATGGTTAAGGTATTCACAGTGCTCTAATACTGTATTTAATTGCAGAGAATAAAATTAATGACCTTTAGTCCTTATGTAGGTAGATGAGTGGTTTGTATCAATACCACTTACTCGCCTGAGGAATTCTAAACTAAAGGCCAAATGAGGTACCTCTCATTGACTTCTCCAACATGTATCCAAGTGTACCATTTGGCCTTGACATTTCATAATCATGTGACAGTTTAACTATTTAAAATATATAGAAGATATTATTCCTGTCATTCTAGCTTACTCTTCGAAATGAGGATGCAGAAAATGAAAACACCAAGTTAAAAAGAGAGGTTAGTAGAAAAGTGCTATTAATACAATACCTGTCGAGTTAATGGTTGACTTAATTTTACTTTATATATGTTTCTCTTTAATTTTTGGCATGACAGTCTGCTTTTATTTTGGCACATTTCCCAGGTACTAGAACTAGAGAATGTGAAGTTTTAAGTTCTAAGTACCAAATTTTAAGAATCATCTTTAAAAGAAGTATATGTTTGGTGAAACTTGGCTCTTTGTGGGTAGGAATTACATCTGCCTTTTAATTTGCAAAGCCCAATAATACAATGGGGCCATTATTTTCACTGAGCCTCTGAGCTTTACTGTAATAAAAATATTTTTGTAGTGTCATAATATAAAATCATGTGTCATTTAAACATATTTCATTACTTTAGATACCAAAATGAAGTAAAACAATTGCTAGGCTGATCTGTCAGGATGCATTACTCAGAGATACTGATGTGGTATTTTAGGCAACTGTATACAGGCAGTCCCCGGGTTATGTACAAGATAGGGACTGTAGGTTTGTTCTTAAGTTGAATTTGTATGTAAGTCGGAACTGGTACATATTGTAGGGGAAACTCTAGCCAAACATTTCTCCAGAGCTCAGTTTTATTCTCCCACACCTCACTTCCCTCAGGCTTTATTCTCAAGCTGAGGTGTCTGCTGAGAAAAGCCGCTCCACCTCTCCCTGGTCTGCTGGGCGGGGGGAGGGGGACGCGCTAGCTTCGCATCTCCCTAGTCTGCTGGGGGGAAGTAGCTAGTGCGGGGGTGCCTCACCCCGGTTGTGTACTTCTCTTTCCTTCATTCTGGCAACTTTTCTTTTTTTTCTGACACCTGTCCTTCAGTTAGATCCTTTTTCAGGCCACAGCTACCAAGCTTCACTTCTTCCAACACTATCATTGGTGCATGGCTCCTTTATAATGTCACTGATTGTAGCCTATATTCCTGTTGACTGGCTGTGTGAATATCCTCTCTGGTGCCTTTTAGAGTAAGTTTTAAAGAATGCTCAAAAGAATCTTACAAACTTTTTTAGTTTCTGACATTTTTTTCTGTCTGCTGAGAAATTTCCAGATCATCAATGTTCAGTGGGTTTGAGATTTTCAAAACTAGTTTTTCTGTTCCTAGTCAAAACTGTTGAGTTTCACCCATTTAAGTTTAGAAACAATGTACTTGTTAGTCTTTTAATTTATAATATAGGGTTCAATTTTCCTTTAGTGTATGTAAAGCTATGCATTTTTATTTATCTTTATGCTTATATCTTATTTTTTAAATGTATTCTTTCTAATTCTATGTTGCTTTTCATCTCCTTTCTTCTTACTTTGTTCTATCCTTTTTAATTTGGAGAAAAAACGAATAAAGAAGAAGGTGAGGATCAAAGGTGTTTAAAAGTATTCTGTAGGAATTTGAGCTTTTACTGTTTTACGTGTATGTAGTAGCTTTCTAGAAAAATAGCATTTTCAAGCTCAAATTTTTACTAATTCTTTATTTTGCGGTTTCTTTGTGTGCAGAATGAACAACTTCGTCAAGATGTAATTGACTACCAGAGACAAATAGATTCACAAAAGGAAATGCATATGTCACGCAGAGGGGATGAGTCTGAGTACAGATCTCAGTTATCCAAAAAGAACTTTGAGCTTGTCCAATATCTAGATGAAATTCAGGTAAAGTTTATGAATGCTTAATCAGTTTTGTACAATGATAATATCAATTTATTGTCATGTAGCATAACCTTTCGGTGTCTAATAGAATGGGTTGGATTTGAAGAGGTCATGTAGCAGTGAAAAACTGTATCCCATTACTAATTCCCTAAAACTTCTGGACCCCGACATTTAGTACAACGGTTATATACCGATATAAGATTTAAAGCACCAAACCATGTATTATTAAAAGTAACTTTTTCTTTAACTTTTTAGAGTTTGACTGAAACTAATGAGAAATTAGAAGCTCAAAACCAGGAAATGAGAAAGAACTTGGAAGAATCAGTGCAGGAAATGGAAAAGATGACTGATGAGTATAACAAAATGAAACTTATTGTGCAGCAGTCTGATGTTGTTATGGATCAATTAAGAAAGGAAAAGGAACAGTATCAATTTCAGGTAATAAATGGCTTTTCCATTATTCAAGGATATGTAATTTTCTGGACAGTGCTGCAGAGTGACAATTTGCCTTAAAAATGAGACTGTATTTTAGATGTTTTAAAAATGCATCTTTCTTTCTAGCAAAGAAAAAATTCTGCTTATTGTATCTAATTTCAAATAAGAAAAAAACTGTTTTAACAACTGGAAATCCAACATAAATGTTAAGAACTTGATTATAAATCATAGAAATAAGGCTTCAAATAAAATGTTATCATACCTTCTAACTACAGCCGAAGTTTGTATTACTGGTATAAAATTAATGTAGTGTATGTGTATCATAATGTATACATTTTTATGAAAGTAATCAGAGTATCAATTTACAGATACAGGAACTAACGGATCAACTTAGAGCAAAAAATGAAGAAGATGATCCCCTCATGGCAGCAGTAAATGCAAAAGTTGAAGAATGGAAGGTACTTTATAGTATTTCTGATTGCTTGTTATCAGGAATTATTTGAGGCATCTTCTTATTATGTTGCTTATGTTCCTTTCAGAGAATCTTGGCTTCTAAAGATGATGAAATCGTAGAGTATCAGCAGATGTTGTTTAACTTGAAAGAGAAACTGAAAATGGCCCAACTTGATGCAGATAAAAACAATGTTATGACCCTCCAGCAGGTACTGTCTATGCAAATGTGGATGTGTCATAACCATTTTTGAATAACTGCTTGTGCAGGCTAGGAATGTTAATTGTTAACAGGTTAACATCACCCTTATCAGGCCAAGCTCACTGGTTATCGGTTAACCGGTGGCCCGGCTGCACTGGAACAGCCTCCTGCCCAACTATGCGCGGTGTCACGGGCGGGGGTACTCCAGTCTAGCCAGCCTCTGGTCTCTTCCCGTTCAAGCAGATTACTGGTTAGAATAATTAAACGGGATTTTATATCCTTAGTAAAGTCCACGTGTCAAAGTTTGTCATAGGGTAGTTGAGAGGCAGTTTCCATTGCAGAGTCTTATCTCCTTTCAAGTGTCCCTAATTCTAGTCCCAAAATTATGTGTGTTGCATGATATGCGCAACTCTTCATCCTTTGGAACGTAGCAGGGTTGTGATCATCACTGCATTTTCAGTCTCCCCGACAGTCTATATGGTGGTGCAGTACTGATCAGAGGCCAGAGACATTGTGGTGGCCTGTGAGTCAGGGCAGTGTGGCCGAACGGCCAGAGTCAATATAACAGCCCCCTAGGATGCAGGGCAGAGTGGTCCTCTGGCTAGTATTGGGGAGACTCACTTTTTTGGAGGGGGTAGTAGGTCAGGTAGTGAGACTCAGGCCTACCCAACTTCACCAGGCCCTGAACCAGGGCCCTCACAGTGGTGGAGTGGTCAGTGGAGGAATCCCACTGCAACACATCGACCTCTCTCAGGTGGAACATACTACTCAGTCATCCTCCCTGGGTCACTTCCTAGTGCACTTCCATAAGCTGCTGTTCATGGGACACAGGAATTTTTAGGCTTCTCTGTGCAGATGATTCCCTACGGCTTTTTTGGACACAGACCACAAGTCCAGCTCTCAGGATCTCCAACTCCTGCATGCAAGGGCTGTGTTGGCTCTTCAGCTGGAGATTCCACCAAAAGTCACTACTCCTCTGAAAGATATGTGCAGCCAGGAACACAAGAATTACTGTATAGGCCAGTGGTCCATTTAGTCCAGAATCCTGTCTCTGTCAGTCTCCTGCAATAGAAGCTTATGAGGAATTTGCAAGAAAAGACCCATTCTTGCCAGCATGCATGTGCTTAGCTTTGCTGCATTTTGTTCCACTGAAGTTGATTATATATTTATTGAGCTGTTTTGAAATATATAAGGTACTATTTTAACAAGCTTGTATTAATTGTATATTTTACTTGTGACTATTTTTCTTTTATTTTTACTGCTTTGCCCTTATATATCCAACTTCTAGATAATATCTGAACTTTATGTTGTAAGTATTGCTGTTTCTTTGGTTTTTTTTCAGACTTTCTTGTATTAGCTGTTGTACATCTTTTCATTTTCTTTCTGTTCACAGTAGTAAGATACTCTGTTAGTAATTTATTAAATGTTAGCTACACTTTTAACATAATTGCATTTTTGCAGGGGGTGCAAGAACGAGACAGTCAGATCAGGTTGCTCACTGAGCAAGTTGAACAGTATACGAAAGAAATGGAAAAAAATGCATTGATTATTGATGATTTAAAAAACGAACTCCAAAAAGATAAAGGTAAGTTGGTATTTTTATTTAAAGATATGTTGGCAACTGATAATGTGCATTTTTTTAAACTTGACATTGTTTTCTGTATTTTGAAATAATAGGAATGAGATTTATTCCCTTAGAGTATGTCTGCACTAGCTCGTTAATTCGAGCTAGGTAGGCAAACGAGGCGACTGGAGTTGCAACTTAAGCCCACGATTTCAATATCCCGGGCTTTATTTGCATGTTCCCGCCCAGTCTTTAGTTCGAATTAACTGTTACTCCTCATTTCACGACTAACTAAGGACTTAGTTCGAATTAACGTTTCACTGCCGCGTGTAGCCACGTGGCAGTGAGTTCGGGCTAGTGAAATTTCAAAATGGCGACCGGACGGGAACATGTAAATAAAGCCTGGGATATTTAAATCGCGGGCTTAATTTGCAACTCCGGTCGCCTTATTTGCCTACCTAGCTTAAATTAATGAGCTAGTGTAGACATACCCTTAGGGATGTCTACGGTAGCAAGAGGATTAACCCTCTGGAGGTTGATCTTCTAATGGTCGATTTTTTGGGTCTAATGTAGTCCGCTAACTCAAACGCTGAGGGCCGCCCTTGCCGATGTCTGGTCCTCCTCATTCTGTGAGAAGTAAGGGAAGCCGACAAGAGCATGTGCTCCTGTCAGCCTCCCGCTGTGTGGACTCCACCATGGCTTGGCTTAAGGTAAGCCAACTCCAGCTATGCATTTTGCGTAGCTGGAATTGCATCCTTTAAACCAGCCTGCCTGGTTTAGTGTAGACCAGGCTTTACTGATTCACTGTTTCCATTTTCCAAACATTGGAGAGTAATTTTCAGTGTGTAGGTTTGATCAAATGCATTATTTTTAATTTTTGAAGTACCTAGTATTAAAGTCTGTTATTTATAAATACTTGTCACATTTCTTCAAGTTCTGTAGACATATATAGTTTACTCAAAAATATGCAGTTACATCTTCTGTTGCATAATTATATGTTCAAACTGTAATACACTGCCTATATACCAAGTATAAAAGTAAATCATTTCACTGAGACTCTGTAAAAATTACTTTAAAAAGAGTAAGTTAAAGTAAAATACCAACTGCAGTATGTGAATATTGATTCAACCTCTAGGAGCAAAGAAAACTTAGTTCTGATTCTGCTTAGATTTAGGTCTTATCTTCATAGATAAGTTATAAAAATATAAGGTGTGAATTTGAAAAGCTAAAAATATGCCAGTATAACACTCCTTGAGGACACAGTTACTCTTGTATAAGATGACTCTTTTTTATTTATATCACTTTGGAAGTAGTTTAAGATAAGTTGGGGTAAAAACACCTATTTTTTTGGAATAAATGTGTCTATGTGAGGTATTTATACCAGTGTAAATGTAATAGTTTAACTACAGGTTGGACCTCCTTGGTTTGGCACTGTCGGGACCAGAGCAGTTCTGAACAACAGAATTTGCTTGACCCAGGGAAGTGTCTTCTACCACGGTCCCAAGAGAGTTGGCTCCCTGCCTCTGGCCCCCTCTACCCTATCCCCACCCGGGCTGCCCACTTTGCAGCTGCCGGCCCAACCCCGGGCTGCCAAGGATGGCAGGGGTTCTCCAGCCCTGGTACGCGCTATGGTGTGCGCCCATATTTCTTCAGCCATACAGTGCCATGGGTGGCTGGGCTTCTCTGGTCCCCGGTGCTACACTGCCGCAGGCTGCCTGGAGTCTATGGTTCCTGGTCCCATGCTGCCGTAAGCACGTAGAGGTCTTTAGCCTTCAGCTCCACTCTGCCATGAGCTGCCAGGGTTCTCCAGGCCCTGGACCCAGCACTAGTTTGGGGCTCATCTGGTCCTGGTCAGTCTGCTGACCTTCCTGCCATTAGGCTCCTGGGCTCTCTGGTCCAAGAGCATTCATGGTCCTGCCAGACCATGGATGTTGCCGGGCCAAAGAGTGTCAATTTTCAGAGGTGCAGCCTGTACACTAATATAACTTGAATATGTTTACCATGCAGTCAAGCCCTTGCTTAACTTCATTAATGGTGAGCACTCCCATTGGCTTCAATGCATAATCAGAGTGCATAAAATTAAATATATAATTAAGCTTTTGTAGAATCAGGCCCTTTATATTTTAAGTCTTGATCCTGTAAAACAAAGAGTTTTAAATATTGAACTCACATGGAATGCTATTGTCCGTTATATGAATGGATTTCATGTAAGTTACCTAAAATATTGCTTATAAAAATAAAAGGCCATAATATAAACTTCTGTAAAACTGTTTATTTCAAAATGAAATTAAAATATTTTTGCAAACCAAAAATCAAATACAAAATAATAATTTGCTTGTTGCAGCTTTTCTAGATTTGAGTCCTAGCAAAGTGGAAGCACTCAGTTACTTCATATTGGAAATGGCTTAATGTTCTTAATCATTCAAAATGTAACAGGAAAATTTGCTTTACTTTCTAGGCTTGTCATCTCTTGCTCAGCAAAATCGTATTGGAGAAATACAGGAAAAACTACAAGTGCTGGAACAGAGAACTAAAGAGGCTGAGAGAGTAGCAGAATTAGCAGAGTCTGATGCTAGGGAAAAGGACAAAGAACTCATTGAGACTCTGAAGCGAATGAGAGACTATGAAATGGTACACAGATAATTTGATAAAATGAAAAGAGCAGTTTTTGACTTTATGTTTAATAATGTTTGCAATTTTTCCATTTAGTTTGTCCTACCTGAAAAACAAAACAAAAACAAATATCAAATGAACAGCGTCCCACATTGGTTTTTTTCTCTCATTTTGATCTTGTTGTAGAGGATAGATGAGTGAATTTGAGGCTTACATCTACACTACAACAGAAAGTTGACTTAAGGTACGCAACTCCAGCTATTTGAATACTATAGCCGGAGTTGACCTACCTTAGATTGATTTACTAGACCCACCTGAATCAACTGCCATTCAGTCTTGAATTAGCCAAATTGGGAAAGGCATATGAAGCTTGTTTGAGCATCCATAGTTGTTGTCTTGAGATGACAGAAGTTGGATAGCCAAGATGAGAAGCTTTTGAAGGGTCAACATGTAAGCTAATAGCAGAATTCCCTCTTGCAAACAGTGGGAAAAGGACTTCTGAAAATCACTGGAAGCACCAAGTAAAAACATTTTGTCAGAGAAGTTAGGTGAATGGAAAGATGCCATTTTTAGATGGTCACTTTCCTGATTCTAACTATATTGTCAATGTTTACATTCCTAAAATATTCTGCATATTTAGGCCCTGATTCTTTGCAGACATGTGTGCATAGCACTCATTGCAGGATCAGGGACTTTAATGTTTCTACACTTGTACATCTACACTTGTCTACACTTGTACATCTCAGGGTAAAGAAAAAGATGCAGTTCCTTTCCATTGCATTGAATTTAGTTGTTTGTTAAATAGTAAATGTCACATTGTCAGATGTTTGATTATCAGTGATAAACTTTAAGTTTTGGATTTTTTTTTACATGGGGAAATGGTGATTGTACAACAATTCTGTTTGATAGTGCATCAAAAGGTTTGTGTTGACCATGTTTTCAAAATGAAAAGAGGACCTTTCTATGATAACATTTTTTAGAGTAACAGAATATTCATGCAAAAATACTTTTTAAAAATGTGTGCTACTTCGCTGCTTCCAACTTAGACTTTGCTTCCTAGATTCAACAGAGTGGCATGTACATTTCTCAAAGATAGAGGATTTTTTCAAGTAACTCAATGTTCTGAATAGTGTATTATGGAACATTGAACATGTATGGCTAACATGCACTTTGAGTAAAAAATACCTTTGCTTTACACTCACTTAGCTTTTCACTGCAAACACTGCTTGGAATAGTAATATGGCTTAAGCAAGCATTTTTCAGTTAAAGAACCCTTATATTTTAAATGATAAAATAAAAATATATAGGGAACTTCAAATTTCCAAAAGAAAATCTCAAGACCTTGAGACATTATTGTAAAATCCGTATGTGTGCTCTCTGACAAAGGTAAGCTGGAATTCAGCGAAATTACATTCATTGTCATAGTGATACTAGTTACAAACACTTGGGCTGTGTCTACACTGGCACCTTTTTCTGGAAATGCTTAAAACGGAACAGTTTTCCGTTATAAGTATTTCCGGAAAAAGAGCATCTACATTGGCAGGATGCTTTTCCGGAAAAGCCCTTTTTCCGGAAAAGTGTCTGTGGCCAATGTAGACGCGCTTTTCTGGAAAAAAGCCCCGATCGTCATTTTCGCGATCGGGGCTTTTTTGCGGAAAAGACTACAGTGCTGTCTACACTGGCCCTTTTCCGGAACAGTTTTCCGGAAAAAGGACTTTTGCCCGAGCGGGAGCAGCATAGTTTTTCCGGAAAAGCAGCTGATTTCTTACAGTAAATCGTCACTGCTTTTCCGGAAATTCAAGGGGCCAGTGTAGACAGCTCGCAGCTTATTCCGGAAAAGCGGCTGCTTTTCCGGAATAAGTGGCCCAGTGTAGACACAGCCTTGTTGTTATATACTAGATTTTATCAAAAAAATTAAAAAGGAAAGAGGCAGAAAGTATTGTAAATTTAAGACTTCCATTTTAATTCCTAAGTGCTATTTCCATGATCAGAAAAATGATTATATTTGCAATTCAGTAGACAGTGGTTTGGCACCTTCAAGTGAGTGGATTATTTCAATTTAATTCTATAATGTTCTTTCAAAAAAATCCCTCCCCTTACTCATAATCTTTTTCTTGTTGTCTTTCCTTTTATTTTGGTTCTATTTCAGGGAATATATGGTTTGGAAGATGCTATTGCTGAAATAAAGGATTTAAAAAAGCAGATTAAAATAAGAGATCATGAGATTGAAGGATTGATTAAGGAAGTAAACAAACTTGAACTTAAAATTAATGATTTTCTTGATGAAAATGAAGAGCTCAGGGAGCGCTTAGGTATGTGATTGATGTGACTGTGCCATAGAGTTCAAATAACATTATATTAATGCAGGTATCTTACCTTATCGTAATTCAGTGTGTGTAAGTTATTTTATTTGTCTACTAAAAATGAAGTGATGAATGTATTTATTTATTTATTTATTTATTTATAAGAGATTATTAGCTGCAGGATCGTTCATGAACAAATGTGGCCATTAAGCTGCTTTTGACAGAGCTACAATCATTTTTATTTCCATGACGGTACCTAACTTTGCCTGATTCCAAAATGACTCACCCATCATAGTACATTCAAACACTACGAAATTTGTAAAGATAATATTCTAGTATTATCTTTCGTAGTATTGATTGAAAAATACAGAAAGAAAAAACATGAGTTAATCTGTTTAAATTATTCTATAGTTAAAGATAAATTGCTACCCGGAGTTAAGTTTATGTATCCTTTAGCTATGGGTCAGTCAACTAATACTGTCCCTTTCCAGATTATGTTAAGCATGGAAGAGCTGTTATATATGAAGAAAACAAGTATTCCTATTAGTTTTCAGAATAACTATTTGTTATCCTGCTTGAATATTTATCAAAGTATTCTTATTTAGATAGGTTATATATTAATGCTTTTCAAATGTACATTATTCCTTCTAACTAATAAATACCACCTGCATTATGTTTCAGGTCTTGATCCAAAGACAATGATAGATTTAACTGAATTTAAAAACAGCAAGGCACTAAAACAGCAGCAGTACAGAGCTGAAAACCAGATCCTTTTAAAAGAGGCAAGTGATAAATTGTGTTTATGCATATTTTGTAAAATGAAACTGAACAGAAATAAATATTAACATTTTATTATGCAGATTGAAAGATTGGAAGAAGAAAGAATTGCACTGAAACAACAGATTCGTAAAATGGCTCAGGAGAAAGGAAAAAGAGCGGCAATGTTAGGTATGTTAGAATCATGGCAGCTTATTTTGATTTTGACTGATTTCAGGCCAGCCACGGTAAATGGTTCTGTGTGGGTTTATTCAGCATAACATTTCAGTGTGCTACATTTGCTAAGGTATGTAAATATTAAGAAGCTGAGTATAGATAGTGACCCAGATCTTCAGCTGCACCAGAGGTCTAGTTGGTATATTGGGAGAAAAGGGATGGAGTGGCTTTATGTTTCACTCATGCTCCAGCCTTATGTGTGTTCTAATTTTGCTGGCCTATAAAGGTATTTGAAGTGTAGTCAGAGTGCAAAATGGCCTTTCTGCATCCTCCCTCTCTCTTTAGGCAAACGCTCATTAACAGAGACATTGCAAAGAGCTTACTATGTCAATTTTGCACAAGCCAGAAGTTCATCTACCCTGTGGAAATCATCAGGTGCCTACTAAAAGCAACTTTACAACTCCTTTGCATCACAGAACAGGGATCAGATATCTAGTCCGCTGTTTGGAACATTTCATTTTGTTGTTAGGGGATTGATAAATTCATCCATAATAATTTGTTATTCATAAATGTATTGGTAATTAGGATTGGATGCAGATGACTTGCAGATGATTGATAGCTTTACAGAAGATCTGAAGACAAAAAAAGGAAAATCAGATTTCATGAGCACAGTTAATTTTGATGAAGTTAAAGCAAAGGTATGGTCATGGTATATGAATGTGTATTATTTTTTCTGAATGAGTTGGGCCTCAAAATAGGAACTATGTTAATATCTAAGTATATAGTTCTGAGAATTCTGTATGGCTATTAATTATTGATATACCTGTCTAAAGAAATAATCCTAAATGAATTGTCTGTACATTTTGATGTAACAATAATAAACATTGTTTACTTTTCTATGAATACAGGATAACAGTTCATATAACATGGAAAGGAAAAACATACTTTCAGTTAGAGGAGCATCATTTAGTGTGTTAAAATCTGAAAAGGATATATCTGAAAACACCATGGATTTGGGAAATCTATCAAGAAGAATTTCTAGTATACTTCGTAATCTAAATCAGTCAGAAACAAGTGGAGATATTTTTGTCCAATTAGATTCTAGACATGTGGCACAGATGCAGCCAAAAGATGATGGCCATAGTTCAGAAACTTTTACCATAAAAGAACTTTATAGATCATCAGGATTACAATCTACAGACACGCTAGGGACAACAGATTATGTAACTAATAGGCAGCTATCGAAAGGCGTAAAATCAGACTATCCGTATCCATGTTCATTTTCTGCTGCCCAAATAATGAAAAAGGATTCCAAAAGTCAGCCGATAAAACAACAGAGAAGCCAAAATTATGTAAAAAAAGCATCTTTTCAGAAACAAACAGAAATATGCTCTGGTTTAGACCAAACATTTTCTCAAGATTTCCAAGGAGGGTTGTCTCTCAGACAAAAATCTGCTATTTTTTGTCAGTCTATCCATGAGAAGCCAGTAGCACCATATGAATCACAAGTAGTAAAGCTAAAACATGAACAGGACTATTCTCAGATAAAGTATTCTGATTTCTTAACTGATTTCCAAGATGTCAGCAAAGAACAGAGAGACTTTCCAGAATCATTGCAGGCAGAAATTTTGGAAAGTGGATTTGAAGATGGACTATCAAAATATGTATGTCAGGTAGATCCAGTTGAAAATCTCATAAAGCAGTTGAGGAGTGAATTATTTTTCCTTAGATCACAGGTGAGGCTTCTCCATGATATCTATAAGCTTACCCTTTGCAATTACTCAGAAAATATATTCAGTAACAGATAATAAACAGTGTACATTTTTTTATTTTATGTGTTTCAACTTGATTGATTAAAGTACATAAGACAGTTCCATTCCTGCACATTTGTGGTATTGGCAATAAAACATAGAAAGTTCTTTAAATATAAAGTCTCCAGAACCACGACTGCTTCATAGCCAATGTGTATGCAGCAAAAGTATAAAAAAGGTTTTTTTTAATGGAAAACAAGATTAGAATGATTTTAGGTCTAGCCATTTCCACTCCTCCCCTCAAAAAACCTACACCAAACCCTTGTTTAACTTCTCACCTTCTAGTCTTACCTTTCAGATTCCCTTATGACTATAGTGTTCTCTCCATTCTTACGTTTTAGTTTCAGTAAAACAAAAGGATACTGTAGCACGAGGCATAGGATTGGAGCACTCGCAGAAAAAAATTAGTGGGTGCTCTCCGCCTACCCTCTCAGCACCTCTCGTCTGCCTGCAGCTCCACCCATCAACTTCTCCTCCCTCCCAGCTCCTCATGCCCATCATGATCAGCTGTTTCACAGTGTGCAGGAGCTGTTGAAAGGAAAGGGGAGGAGCAGGGATGGGATATGCTATAGGGGAGGGGCAGAACTGGGTAGGGATAGCTAGCGGGGATGAGAAGAGGTAGGTTGGAGTTGGGGGCTTGGGAGAAGGGATGGGTGGGGTGGGATGGGACCTGAGGCAGAGTGGGAAGAAGCAGAATGAGGGTAGAGGTTTTGGGGAAAGAAGAAAGGTCTAAGGAGTGGCAGGAGTTTGAGCACCTCTGGGGCCTATAGGAAGCTGGTGCCTGTTGCATCATGTAATAAAGTTTTGTAATTTTCAGAGCTTATCTGGATGAGGTGGAGGCTGAGACGGATCTGCTCTCTCTGATATTAGTGGAAACATTAATGAATTGTTGAGGAGTACAAAAGCGTAGCACAAGCACAGAGGAACAAAATCAGAAAGGCTAAAGCACAGAATGTGTTAAACCTAGCAAGGGGCATAAAAGGCCATAAGAAGAGGTTCTTCAAATATGTAAGGAGTGAAAGAAAGATAAAGTGTAGGTTCTCTACTTAGCAGGGAAGGAGAGGTAATAACTTATATCAGGAAGCGTGAGGTATTTAATGTTTATTTTTGCTTTAGTCTTCACTTAAATATGTTAATAGTGACCAGATACTCATCACAATTAATGTTAACAACATGGTGAAAGGAACACAAGTCGAAATAGGCAAAGAACAGTTTAAAAACTAGATAAGTTAGTTTTATTCAAGTTATTAGGGTCTAATGAATTTAATGCTTGGGTATTTGCGGAATTAGCTGACGTGCCCTTAGAACCATTAGCAGTTACCTTTCAGAATCATGGAGGTATGGTGAGGTCTCAGGGGCCTGGAGAAGGGCTAACATAGTGCTCATCTTTAAATATGGAAATGAAAGAGGACCTGGGGAATTATAAACCAGTCAGCCTAACTTAAATACCTGGAAAGATACTAGAACAAATTATTAAAACAATCAATTTATAAGCACCTAGAGAATAATAGGCAAGGTGTATGAGATAACATCTTTTATTGGACCAGCTCCTGTTAATGAGAGACAACCTTTTGAGCTACACAGAGGTTTTTTTTAGGTTTGGGAAAGGTACTAACAGTGTCCCAGCTAAATACAAAATTGAACAGATAGAATATGCACTATTTACTTATGCTAAACTATGGAATTGTTCAAGGTGAAGTGGCCAGTTGACTCCCCTGTAGTTACAGGACTAGAGATGTAAGCGACTAGTTGACTATCTGATAAGCAAAAGCTTATCATGTAGTCGACCAGTCCCTCGACTAGTTGCTTACTTCCTCCCACCATCAGCTTCTATGAGAGGCAGCAAGGGGGTGCGAGCAGGAGCTCGTGCTGGAGGGGAGCCGTCTTAAAAGCCGGTTTCCCCCCGCACCATCTCTGCAGGGTGCAGAGAACACGGGGTAATGGGGACCAGACGCAATCTGGGAATCAGCTGATTCCCGGCTCACGTTCAGTCCCAGATGCTGTGCCTCTGCTTTTTAATTGTATTAAGAGCCTGCCGCAGCGGGAGGAACCCTGCACGAGCTAGGAATCAGCTAGCCTGGCCCACGCTGGGTTCCCCCCGCTGCGCTTCAGTCTTTTAAAGGTGTTTAGAGCTGATTGGACAACTGATTCCTGGCTTGCACCAGGTCCCTGCTGCGCTACAGCCTTTTTACATTTAAAGCTGGTGCACAGTGTGTGGGGGGACCTGACGCAAGCCCGGAATCAGCTGTTCTGGCTTGTTCTGGGTCTCTCTTGCTGCACTTCAGCCTTTTAAATGGATTAAGAGCCAACAGGCCAACAAGCTCTTAATCCATTTAAAAGGCAGAGCCGCAGCGGGGTAAGCTCCTGGGGTCGGGACTAGTTAATTAGTTGATTAAATGAAATGTAACATACCTACACAGGACTAACAGTTGTGGTGTGTTAGTGGGTTACAGAATATTGTAATAAGCCATGAATTCAGTGTCTTTATTAAAACCATGATTGTTAGTGTCAAGAAAAGTTATGAATTTGAGCTCTCATGCTTGTCTTTTAAGAGTGCTGCACAAGTTTGATGTTTTGAGTATCTTTCCCAGATTTGAAGACAAGCTTTGTGTAAATCAAAAGCTTGTATCTCTTACCAACAAAAGTGGGTCCGTTAAAAGATATTCCTCACTCATCTTGTCTCTGCTATCCTGGGATTAACACAATTACAGCAACAATACATGGAGGATAATAGCCTTGTAAGGAATTGCCAGTATAAATTTGTTAAGAACAAAAACTAACCTAATTTCCTTCTTTGGTGGAAAGATGTGAACAAATTGGAGAGAGCCCAGAGGATAGCAACAAAAATGATACAAAGTTTAGAAAACCTGATCTATGAGGAAAAGTTAAAAAACTGGGCATGCTTATTCTTAAAAAAAGAAAACTAAATATGTACAGTCAGTCCCCGGGTTATGCGGATCCGACATATGTTGGATCCGTACTTAGGAACAGGGCTTTTCTCACCCCGGAGGACGCGGGTGGCGGAACCGCCCATACGGCAACAAAAATGATACAAAGTTTAGAAAACCTGATCTATGAGGAAAAGTTAAAAAACTGGGCATGCTTATTCTTAAAAAAAGAAAACTAAATATGTACAGTCAGTCCCCGGGTTATGCGGATCCGACATATGTTGGATCCGTACTTAGGAACAGGGCTTTTCTCACCCCGGAGGACGCGGGTGGCGGAACCGCCCATACGCTCCGCGGTCCCACCACCCGCGTCGTCCTGGGCGAGAAAAGCTGCTCCGCGTCTCCTTGATCTTCTGGGGAGGGGGCCCCCAGCAGACCAGGGAGACAC